CAAGTTTTGGCGTCTTCCTCGTTGAAGAAACAGACAAAACCTGTGCCTGCGGGACGGTCTGTGGCCTTGTCCATGACGACTCTTGCATATCGGACCTTGCCGAAATGCATGAAGAAGCCTTTCAGTTGTTCATCAGTTGTTGTGAAGGGCAGGTTTCGAATGAAAATAGTGGATGAGTTGTCGGTTGACCTTTGCGACTCCTTTGACTTGGAATGTTCGCCCTCGTCCTCCTCTTCGTCTTCATCTTCTTCGTCATCGTCATCCTTTTCTTCATCTTCGTCGTCTTCGTCCTCCATATTCTGCATGTGGTTCTTCAAAAAGTTCGCGAGGTCGGCATCCACACCTTCCTCCTTTGAGTCAGCCTGATCATCGTCCTCGTCCTTGGCAGCATCGCTGGTCTCAGCCTCCTCCTTTGCTTTCTTGTTGCCTTTTTCGCCATCATCCTTTTGATTTTGACCCTCCCAGGTTGCTTTGTCAACGGCCCAGTCCACAGCGAGGGTTCTGCCATCAATTTCCTTCCCATTGATAGTTTCCAAGGCCTTTTCGGCATTCTTCCTGCCCCGAAGAGTCACAAAGCCAAAACCTTTGAGTTTACCCTTTGAGCTTGGGAGATCGGCAAATTTGACCTTGCCAAAACTCCGGAACAGGTGAGATAGTTGTTCGGACGTTTTGACACTCCAAGGAAGGTTTCGGACGATCAGCTTCGTTGCGTTCTGAGTCTCGTTTCTCGATGTGGGCCTGCCAGGTATGGCCGGTTTGCTTTCACCGGCATTGTTTCGACTACGGGGCTCAGCGATATCAACCCTGATGCTCCTCCCGTCCCATAATTTCTTGTCCAAAGCCGTTTTCGCCTGGGAAGCATCCTCGGCGTCGGCGAATGTCACAAAACCATATCCTCTTGACTCCTTTGTTTTAGGATCGGTGATGACGGTGGCGTGTTTGACAGGGAAGTACTCGGAAAAGAACTCAGCTAGTCCCTCGTTGGTGACGCTGGGTGGGAGAGAGCGGACAAAGATTGATCGACGCTCCTCTACCCTGGCCTTCTTTGCGGAAGGCTGCTTGGCATTGGTTGGGTTGATGACTTGCTCTGCAATAATTTGATCGATATTAGAGGCCTCGTTGCCATCAGCCTCAGCTTCAGTTCGGCCGCGCTTTCGATTCGCAGTTGTATCTGCCATGTTGCAATTGGAAAGTCGCAACCTCCAGTTATGCTACAGAACATCCGTTGCGACACCCGGTATTTGCTTCAAAAAAAAAAAGTTGAACTAGACTCCGATAAGCTTACATTATCTTATCGCACGTGATAAGAGCGGGGCCGCCCGTTGGAGGGGGTCTAAGCTGAAAATGGAAGAATGTTGACTTAATTAGATGGGCAAAACACGCTGCTCCGCGTCGTACCCAAACAAACCCCCTCCTCCCGGCAGCCCCATATTGAATCATTCACCAAACCAAACACAGGATTTGGGATGCTGTGAATTCGCATTCACAACAGCATACTATTCATTCGACATGCCCGCCCGTACAGCCAACCGGTCTGGCCGGACCGCGGCCAACAGACAAGCCAATACAACAGTCACCTCACGGTCTTCCATGGCCTCTAGCGTTGCGCCTGAGAGCGTGGAAATTCTCGATACTCCCGACAATGCGCTACGTCCCCGGATCTGTGCCATATTCCGCGATGCTCAGCGAACTACTGCGACGCACCGAAAGCTGGTCGTCAACTTGCGCAAGATCCATGAGGCTTGTTGCTATGAGCCGGAAAGCGAGAGGAATGCAACTCCCGAAGGCTATGATGAGGAAACATTTAACTATGAGTTTATCAGATGTGTTCTTCGGGTAATGCCCGTCAAGAAATCCGAGAGCGCTGGTGATAAAATCCTGAGATTTGTCGGATTCTTCTTGCGTTTGGCTGGGGACAAGGACGCCGAAATCGCTGGAAACGACGAGGAAGATCTTAGTGTCTTGCCTGATAACCCAACGACACGCCTGACTTCCCAGCTGTTAGAAGCTGCATTGAGGTTAATGACATCAAAGGACAAAGTTGTTCGGTTCCGCTCAACGCAGCTCGTGTCACACATTATCTCCACCGTGGAGGCTATTGATGACGGTCTGTTTCAAAACGTTCGAGATACTTTAGTCAGGCGCATTCGAGATAAGGAGGGCATAGTCCGTAACCAGGCGGTTCTGGGATTATGCCGCCTTGCCGAGCAACCAGGTGGAGAAGAACAGGACTCTGATGGCCAGGAGGACCAGGCTACGCTCCTTAACAAACTATTGGAGGTCTTGCAGAATGACCCCAGCGCAGATGTGAGAAAAACACTTTTGACCAACCTTCCTATTCTCTCCGCCTCGCTCCCTTATCTACTCGAGCGAGCTAGAGATCAGGATCCCGGCACCAGGAGAGCTGTCTATGCTCGCCTGTTGCCTGCTCTTGGTGACTTCCGCCATCTCTCTTTGTCTATGCGCGAAAAGCTCCTCCGCTGGGGGTTACGCGACCGAGATGAAAGTGTCCGAAAAGCTGCTGGGCGGCTATTCCGAGATCGTTGGATTGAGGATTGTTGCCATCTGCCTACAGAAGAAGGAGAAGCCACAATGGTTGAACCTGGACAGGTCAGCTTCGAGGCACTACTCGAGTTGTTGGAGAGAATTGATGTAACTGCCTGTGGTGGAGAGAACGGAGTGGCTTTGGAGGCTATGAGAGGATTTTGGGAGGGCCGCCCCGATTACCGAGACGCTGTTGTTCTTGATGACCAATTCTGGGAGACTCTTTCTGCCGAGTCGGCCTTCCTTGCACGAACATTCAATGACTTTTGCCGCAACGAAGGCGACGGAAAGTATGAGTGGATCCTAGATGAAAAGATTCCAGAAGTGACCAAGCTCGCCTTTTACCTTGAGCGATACCTCAAGGTTCTTGGTGAGGCAGTTAAGAGGGTTACTGAGAATAAGAGACTTCGAGAGGAACAGGGGCTAGAAGACGACGAAGAAGAAGAAGCAGAAGAGGAAGAAACACTCGAGCAGGAGTTCATCGTCGAGCAGATACTTCATATTTGCTTAACACTTGACTACTCAGATGAGGTTGGGCGCAGAAAGATGTTTACTCTTTTGCGTCAAACAATCTCTGTCGAGGACCTGCCAGAGCCAGTGACAAAGCTCGCAATTGAAGTTTTGCAGCACATATGCACCCCAGATGCTGCGGGAGAGCGCGAATTTTGCAGCGTGGTCCTAGAGGCTGTTACCGACGTCCATGATACTATTCTCGATGACCCAGACGCGGATGACGCATCAGACAGTTTCCATTCGGCGAGGTCGGAGATATCTGGTGACACAACCCCGACTAGAGAAGCTCGGCGCAGAGCAACATCGGAGTTAAGCGATGGAGAGGCTCATAGACGGCGTGTTAAGGAGTTGTTTGTCAACATGAAGTGTCTGCACATTGTGCAGTGCATGTTGACCCATGTTGCTGGCAACCTAAAGGATAACACAGAACTGGTTGCAATGCTCAACAACTTGGTTGTTCCAGCTGTTCGAAGTCACGAGGCCCCCGTGCGAGAAAGAGGGTTGGTGTGCCTAGGGCTTTGCGCATTGCTTGACAAATCTCTTGCTGAGGAAAATTTGGGATTGTTCGTCCATTTCTTCAGTAAAGGTCACCCTGCTCTGCAGATAACGGCCTTGCACATTTTGACAGACATCCTCAATGTCCATGGCGCGCAGCTTCTCTCAGCCAGCCCAGTGCTCCTGAAGGTGTATCTGAAAGCCGTCAAGGGTGCATCCAAATCTTCAGAAGTTCAAGCGGCTGCCACTATTGCTGCCACCAAACTCCTCCTTGGCCGCGTGATCAGCGACGAGGGAGCTTCTCATGATTTGTTGAAGGTGCTTGTCGTTGCATACTTCGACCCATCGTCTGCCCATAACCAAACGGTTAGGCAGGCTTTGAACTATTTCCTACCCGTCTTTTGCTACTCGCGTCCAGAGAACCAAGATCTCATGCGGACGGTGGCACTGGACGCCCTCCATGCCCTCCTCGCTGTGCGGGAAGGGCTGGAGGATGACGAGGATGTTGACGTCGGTGAAGATATGGTGAGCCTAACAACAATCGGCGCTTGCCTAGTAGATTGGACAGATCCGAGGAAATGTTACAGCGCCGATGCAATCTACGATTCAGAGAGGAAGAATGTCAATGGCGATGTGCACCTGGACTTTGCCCAAGATATTCTTGAGAAGCTTCGTGGCACTATTAGCAGTAAGTACACGATTCCTATTCATGATTTAAGTCTGCTCCATTTTGACTGACAATTCTTTTCACAGGGGAAGAGAAGAAACTCGTTGCTGGCCTCCTGGCAAAGCTTTACATCTCGCCTAGCTCGTCGGAGGATAGGCTGCGTGAGACGTACGCCGATGTCAGCGATGCTGTCGAGAATGGCCTCTTGACAGATGCCACAAGTCGAAACTCGCTCTACAAGATCCATGTCAGCCTTGGCAAGATTGTCAACGCGCTGGATGAGCACCAGGCAACTGAGCGCACAAGCCGCCGCGCTTCAGGCACACACGAGCCCTCTGTATCAGGGGATAAGTCAAGCGTGGGGGATAAGTCCACGGAGGCGAATGACAGCAAGATCGAGGAACAGGAGGATGAGGATGAAGCCGAAGGGACTGTTGTGGCACCTAGCAATGAACCTCAAGATGGGTCGTTGCTGGACGACCTTTTGTCTGATGATGGCGAATCAATGACTGTGACGGTGGGCCGATGAAGGACGTAGGGTAATGGGTATGGCTGGTTATGTGAGCGTGTTGGTGGCAATATTGATTATCTAGGCGAAGTGGTTTTCCTTTTTAGCTAACGTTTATGTCTGTAATGAAATCTCTCTCATGGATATCCCTAAACTGCATCTCTATATAGGTACATAATCTGTGGTATGGGCTGACCAAGCCAAAGACGAACAAGGTCTTTGACGACGAATCTAAATGACTACAAGATCTCGGTGTCGAAACTCCCTAAATATTTATCGCGAGCTGAGCCAATATAGAAGGCCACCGAACCCAACGTTGATGAGTAAATGTTGACCCAGCCCCCAGGCCATGCAGTACAGGTACTTGGGTGAGAAGACTGTCCAAATGAAGAGGTGTGTTCTAAGTATGGTGCAAGCTGCCATGACGAAGGCAATGCTGGCTGCAGTGAATGCCGTGAGAAGCGTGATATGTTGTCTGAAGACGTCCTTTTGCCCCTCATGGGCCTTCTTCATCAGGAGCAGATTGGCCGCCGAGGTCCAAAAGATGGGGCCGGACCAGTTGCTGATGAGAGTGAGGAATCCAACTGCGATGACGTTGAAAGAGCTGATGCCGTTGTATGCGCTAGAGAGATCAATGGAGGAGATGGCGTTGGAGCCACCGAAGGCGAAGAAGGTAGCATGCTGGAGGAGGATGGAGCTGGTGGTGATTTGTGGAATGGATAGGTTGCTGGATTGGAGGAAGTTGAAAATAAGAGAAGATAGGAGGAGAATGGGGATGTTCGTTGCTCGAGATTGAGTTAAAGCGAGTAGACTGTAGAGATAATGAAAGAGGTATGCTGGAGGGGAGACTCGGTTAACTATATTGGATTTGGTAGATGGAGTGCATGGAACTCACCAGATGTTCTCGAGGCTCGCGGACCACCCACGATGCTTCTGTATGTTGCCCAGACTCCAGTGATGGAAAGAAGCGCAAAAACGAGCCTGGCTCTGAATAGTAAAGTCTGGCCTTGAAACATATCGTATACGGCCTTCGCAAATCCCACTACAAGCTCAGGGGCATCCTCGGCTGTGAAGGCAAGCTTGAAACTAAAGGCAGCCGAAACAAGAAAAGACGATAGGCCAGTCGAAATAACATATGGGAGTCCGTCGAGGCTGGCAAGAATGTTAAAGGATATGATGCCGTATGTGGCTGCGACAAGGATCCATAGGAGCTCAGGGTACGGCAAAAGAAATATCTTGACAATGTCTGGTTCGCCAGCATATTTCTGACCTGTCTGGTTCCAGCTGCGCATTAGCCTAAGTGCAGCTAGAGCTACGAGGAACCAGCCAACAAGAGATATTCGTCGGGTCCTGTCGTGACAATTAGCGTAATACTGGGTTGTGATTGGCTTCACTCGACTTACTTTGCGACCTGGCGAGACCCAAGATACGCAAGCCACAAGGTGCAGGACCAGTACCAAAAGTGATGTTCCTCTTCCACAAAACTACTGGCGAACATCATGATGCCGTAAGATAGGGTGATCAGCAAGAGGGGAACTGCATCCGAGTTCCAATTGTATCCTCGTGAGACTGTGGAGCTGATGCTAAGAAGCATGCTCACTGAGGCAAGGGCGAGTCCCAGCAAGAGCTTTGGAATGTCGTAGTTCGAAGCCATAGCACTCATCAAATCCTGGGCACGTCTCAACCAGGTTGAGGTTGCTGAGAGCCATTCTGCATCTACATGACGAGCATCTGCCACTGTGTGCGCTTTTTGGCTAATACTGCGCCATTGGCAAGCTAAGGTGTTGATATCTGTAGGCTCTAGTAAACATGGGTCTGTCGTACTCTTGGGGTCAAATAATTCATCGCCAAAGGCTGCTGTGACTATGCCAAGGATCTGTTTGGCGTTTCTCATAAGAATTTGAACCCTGTCTCTCGCACTGGGCCAGAAGGGCAGGAAAGCGGGAATGAAAGCTCCGAGATTGTTCTTGGATACGGGGAAGCCTAGCAATGCTGCGATTGTCGGCGCTAGATCAGATTGCTCTACCTTGGAGTAGTACTCAAACTCGTCTTTTGGGGTTGCTGGCGCGGATAGGCCAGAAGAGATTGCCTTCATTTTTGGTGAGATGAATAACAATGCTGGTGACGTCTCGCCTGGAGATGACGCTCCGTGATTACCTGCGTCGTTCATTCCATGGTCACCACAAATGACAAGCAGGGTCGATTTCAAGTGATTCTTGGACTCAATTGCTTCAAAGAGAGTTTGAACGATACCGTCCATCTCTTGTTGCTTGGGGACCATATTGGGGCTGCGCGCGAAGGTTAGCCAGATTTAACGTAGATTTTTGGCGTGTCTGTTGGCCATATTGCTCACCTTCGAGGCCCGGACTTATGGCCAATATGATCGAGACCGAGATAATGAAGGACCATCAGGCCCCAATCGTTATTCTCAAGCTCCCCGGCAATGTTCCTTGTTACATTGTTATCGACTTCGGTAAAATCCTGGACAAGTACACTTGTTAATGGCACGTCGCGACCAGCCTGAAGAGCCGTGACATACTGAAACGAAAAAGCTGGTGGTACCATCGGTTCGGTCAAAAGTGTCTGGAAACAGCTTAAGCCACGTATCATCGCCGAACATGAGCAGTTTACCCATGCCCCGTGCCTTGAGCTGGGCTAGCCAAGTGTCTTGCGCCGACAGCGTAGACGAGGTATCAGCCTCATCGAAATTCAAGATGAGATCAACAAATGAAGGGATTGAGCCCGTGGTGATGGATTTGATCCTTGGCATTGTCACGGTTGGAGACCGCGCGTTTGCTGTGAAGGGAACAGCACTACCATCTCGAATCAGACTGGAGGGGATGTCAGATTAATGGTGGATATGGAGAAAAAGAAATAGACGAAAGGATTGGATGCTCACCTTTGGGTGAATTCAAACCCAGATTTTTCCGAAAATACAAAGTCGCTACATACAGAAGTCAGTTAGTCGGTACAACGATGGAGTGGGCTTGATATCGGTTGCTACAACCTTCGCAGGGCGTCTACGACCATAAACACGAGCTTGTCAAACGGGCCGCTCGGGGGAGGCCCAAGTTCGAGAGACTCATATTCGGCAAGGCCCGGAAGAAACGGCTTGTATGGGAAAAAGCCAATGGCGAATACAAGAATGGATATTGGCACGAGGATGTTGGCTAAGCTCAACAGCAACGTGTTAACGAGCGAACCATATTTCATGGTAGCTTGGTAAGCGGGCAATCAACGGGAAGCAGCTACGTCCGTCTCGAATGAATGCACGGACAAATGAATGAATGTGGGAGAGAAGTAAGAGGGAAGGGTGATGCTAGAGCCTTACTTGCTCCATTGACGAGAGGGAGCGAGCGCGCGCGCAGAATAATCAATTGTCTTGGCCTTGCTGGACGTAGACACGTCCGAGGCTCTAAGCCAATGAGACGAGGCGATCAATCAGGTGCATCAATTGCCAAGACGATGGTGGTAGTTTGCGCCACAGGAGCTGATAAGATAAGCATTCCCATATTTTTTTTGTCCTGGTCTTTGTCTGTCTGCCCTCGGAAGAAGCTATTATACACACAATAATTTGTGTTAATTATAGATTGCACATGAGAAAGAAAAGAGCGCCAGTGGAAGTGTATACATGTGTACGTTTATGTTATTGGTATCATCGCATCGTAACATCTCTTGCTGAAGTGGTAGATTTGAATGCCTCAAGTGGATATACGTGAAGAGAAAAAGAAGTGAAGAAAAAAAATCCAACATAAAACCCAGAACACCTGCCAGTTCCATTTATTTCTGGCTCTTTTGCTTCTTCTTGCCCACTCTGTCGCTGTACTTCTGGAACACCATCTTTGACTTCTTGTGCTTACTTTTGGCGATGACCCTGCTGCTCCTCCGGGGTTTGGTAGTCTTGGTGCTTGCATCTACCTCCATGGCTGTTGTTCCGGATGTCAATACAAGGGGAACAGGAACAAAGCAGGGGGACGAATAAAGAAATTTCTTTACCTGTATCGTTGTCATCCCGAGTGGTGATTTCAACTTGAAGATCATTGTCTGTCACATGTTAGATTCTATTTGAGGAAACGAAACAGCACTGCATGTGACTGGGCAGCCTGAATGAGACAGGACTTATTGCACATACCTTCGGTATTCATGTTCACATCAGAGGACTCAGGCTTGGGCTGTTTGGCCAACTCCAGGAGCTTTGCGGAAAGGCGCTCTGCCCGGGCATTTTCAGTAGGGGCAAAGACACTGGCTGCCTTGCGCTGGTTGTTGAACTTCTTGGAACTGGCCCTTGCGCTCTTCGCCATGGTGACGGTTAAGAAAGAAAATTGTTAAAACAAAGATTACGCGGGAACCAATGTATGCTGAATAAGGGGATATGTCTGACTGCGCAGGTCTGCCGGGAGGGTGAACGATGGGAGCAGATGCGTTGTCCAGTGAAGATATTTTTCAGCAGTAACAGCGTCCATCTTGAGCGGAGCGGCCTTGAGCATTTGTGGCTGTGCAGGCAAACAAAGTGTGGCGTCGCTCGACTTAGCGTCAGATCGTCGAGTCGCTCTCCACAATCGCGGAAAGGGCACTCTAGGGTGTTCGTATTGACCTTTGAGGGATTCTTGTTGCGATTCACGATCCGGTCAACATCCAACCCAACAACCCACCCCCCGAGCAGGGACATGTTTTTGTCTGGCATCGGTTGTGTGGCGCGCAAACAACCGCACCGTTGTTTATCGTTCCAACAATCCAGCTTCACGTAGCCACTTCGCCACGACCCATTCAGCCTGGTTCGCTACCCTCAATTTATTTTCAGCCAGCCCTACTCCCCGACCCAACGACAACCACATTGCCTTTCATGCGGCCCCAGCGCCAGACGAGATACTGCTACTTGGAGCGACCACTCTTCCAACTCTTTAGACTTTCCTAGCCAGTCCTGCCTGTGTCGAAAGGGCAAAAACCCTGCGTGATCACGAACGACCAGCACACAGGCGAACGCAAGGCAACCGTTCAGGCTAGGTAGCCAAATTTTGGGCAGGGCCGACACGCAAACCTCGACCAACAACTTGCAATAAGGCGACAGGGGAAGGAGGAAGCCTGGCAGAGCGTTTCACCCTTTGCTCAGGTCGGGCTGAAAACATGGCAGCACCACCCCCCACCATGGCTGGCATCACGTCCATCAGTCGCACTGATTACACTACTCTCATCCGTCAGGTGTCTGGCGCAACGCTATTCAATCGCCAACTGTCTTCTATATGTCAGATAAATGGTCTTAAGAGCACTGGCGTCAAAGCCGAGTTACAGGGGCGCATCAGAGATCGTAAGTTCAGGTTGAAGCGCAATGGTCGCACGCGCCAGTTGGCCCCTTCCTACACTCCTTCATCAAGTCGTTGATTCCATATACTGACGCCGCTATTTTTCGCATAGTAATTCAGGAAGCGTACAATTCGAACGATGCCACGCGTTTTCAGCAAATCAAGCAGAGCATATATAATGCAATGAGCCAGCGTTCGAGCCCTCAGAAAACAACGCCCCGGTCAAGCACTCCCCAGATGGGCCTCACACCTCCGACGTCACACAATGGGACGCTTGGGCAGAATGGATTCACGAATCAACGAGCCACTTCTGGCTACACCTCCGCTGGCGTCCGGCAGACAGGGTTTTATCCCTCCTCGGCATCACCAGCCTTGCTGTTCAAGCAAAGCCCATTCTACCACCTGGAAAGCCAGATCAGTGAGGTTCTCAAATGTCCAGGTATGTTTCCAGAAATTGCGCGCGATAGTGTGTTTTGCTAACTTTGGCTAACCTTTATCATAGTCATGACCCAACATCGCAGTAGTGTGCATTTGACGGTCCGCTTGACCGATAATCTGATTCTGCAGCGATGTGTAGACGATCCCTCCTACCGGGTCATGCTATTTGGCTCAACTGAGAATTCAGGTGTCCAGGACATTGCATTCCCCCATCAGTCCGAACTGAAGATAAACGGCGGAGAATTCAAGGCGAATTTGCGCGGGTTGAAGAATAAGCCTGGGTCTACTAGACCAGTTGACATCACAAGTGCTCTTCGCTTGAAGTCCAGTTACACGAACAACATAGAATTCACATACGCATTAACGAATAAGGTGGGTCACTTGAGATTCAAACCTGTCCATTCTACCGTCCTTGAGTCTAACTGAAAGCAGACATTCTACGTGGTGCTTTTTGTGTGCAAAACATCACCAGTCTCTGACCTTGTGATGGAAATCCAGAAACGCCGGAGAATACCCAAGGACTCGGTTATAACAGAGCGTACGTGCCCGCCTTGGTGCCCGTTGTCAGAATCACGAAAAGCTAACCTGCCACAGTGAACCAGAAGGCCCAGGACCCAGATGTTGTGGCCTGCTCACAAGTATTCTCATTGAAGTGCCCGCTGTCGTACATGAGACTCGATGTTCCATGTCGGACTATAAACTGTGGGCATATCCAGTGCTTCGACGCGACGTCGTACTTGCAACTTCAGGAGCAAGGACCCCAGTGGATGTGTCCAATCTGCAACAAACCAGCCCCATTTGAGCATCTTGCCGTTGACGAGTAAGTTGCGAACCGAATCCCAAGTCAGATAAACCCTTCTAACGCTCCGCGCCAGGTATGTTCGTGACATCCTCGACAACACCTCAAAAAGCTTGGAGACAGTAACCATTGAACCCAATGGGCGGTGGACAACCAAGTCCACCGAGCCTGAACCCTACCAGCCTTCAGGGTCCGCTGCGTTTGAAGACGACGATGAGGTGGAGATTTCAGACATCACAATCATCGGAGGCTATGAAACATCCAAACCCGCTTTTTCAACAAACGTTAGCACACCCGCGTCTGCACATGTAGGGGGTTCCTCCGGGACCCCTAGAGGCGCTGGGTCAATCAGCAACAAACGTCCAGCAGCAGAAGTAATAGATTTAACTCTGTCATCTGATGACGAAGAGCCGGTGCAGCGAGCTCCGAAACGACAAAACACTAGTGCTAATGGGTATCAGGAATCCCATGGCATGGGGTTCCTGAGTGAGTCTCCACTCGGATACCCTCAATAATTTCTCAAACTGGCGGCCTTTTGGGAGATGCACGATAGCTGCCGAGACGGCGGGGATTCGTGGATGCCCAGGTGCCATATCACTTCAGGACCCGGATAGAGGATTCACTTTGCAGGAGTATTGGAAAATAGGGAGAGTCTGTTTATATTGCATTTACATAACTGGATCGGAGTTTGAGGAGAAGCGAGCAAAACAATATTCCCAATTGACTTTCTCATCCCATTTTGAGGGTTGAATATCATTACGGACAGAGCGCGGCCTCAATTTGCTATAACGTGAAGCGCCACCGGGTGTCTCCTGCAAAGTCCGTTGAATTGAAGGAGCTCGCGATAGTAAATTAAACAGGTGTTTGCTCTAGTTAATGAAACTCTTTTCGTGTCATCGCCGTGTCCCTTTCACTCTCAGAGGCTCCATGGGCGGCTATCCCAGTGCCGACCTCTGGCTTGGTCGCTCCGTCGTTGCCGTGGCCGCGGCCGCAACCGAAGCTGCAGCGGTACTGCTGATCCGCAATCAATGACATGAGGAGAATTTTTGGAACAGGGGGTAGCTAATATGTCACCCTGGAAGCCGCCTCGTGCGATGGGGATCTTCTCGGCCCCGACTATTATTATGCGCCCCTCTCGACCAGGATAATAAAAAAAGACCGAGGGCGGACAGGGCCCTCGACGAGGTTTTCCTCGAAGCCCAACATCGGGTCTTGGTTCAGCTGTAGTCGAAATCGACGAATCAGGTCGATCCCTTGAGAGGACCAATGGCAACCGGCCAAGTCGTAGGACTTACTCCTGGGCGCGAAGGGGGGCCTCGTTTGCGAGCGATAGGTGGCGATTGGGTTGTCTGATGTACCTTGCATGAAAGGTTGAGGTTGGGGACACAGAGAATCACATGTACTCGAGAGAGACTATGGGCAAAGCCGCATGGATCGGTCACATTTTTCTTGGCCGAGGAGGGGAGGGGGCAAGGTAAGGTATGATTCTAGGACAGCAACCTGGCGCCACAGATGTATATAAGTATGCAGAGGCATGGATCTGGGTAAGGTAGGTGGTGGCCAGGAAGGAGAAGACATGCAGTGGCAAGGGGAGGAGGGTAAAAGACTGAAGTTTTCTCATCTACTCGAGGACTAGGCTCATGCACAGTGATGATGTTGATGCACCACCGGGTGGTTACACAATGGGGCTGGAGATGCAACGCAGAACGCGAGCTCGCTGCTTATTATTGTGCGCGCGCCGGACTGCATTGCACACACACCTTACATGATGCATATCCTGAAGTAGCTGGAGGCGAGTAGTAGGGGACTGGGGTATAGTTGCGGCAGGCGAACACACATATGGTTATATTGCCCCGTTCATTATCAGCGCATCTGGGTGAAGCTCATAGGCCGCCAGAGGGAAGACCCGACAGCAGGTCCCGTCCCCAAAGTCCGATCAGTACCCACGGCTGCGGGCTGGATTGGGTGCATGCATGTCATTTCTCCCCAAGGCCAGCTACATGTCATATGCGGCCCAACTCCCATTTCAAGTTGAGCGCAGGTGAGGCGAGAGAAGAGAGAAGAGAACAATCAGCAACCCAATTGAATCAAGTACCTACGCAAGGGAGCAGGAGAATCCTAAGCGAGCAACAAGAACAAAGAAAGCAGTTGCAGCAAGGAAGAGAGAATGGGAAAAAGAAAGGAAATGCAAACACCACTCCAAGGTCTTCCACCCCTGTCTGCAGAGAGCTGTCCATCCAACTATCTTAGTTCAGAGAAGCAGCAATATAGAGGCGCATCCAACAACCATCACAACAACATTACAACACAATCATACCAGCTACGCATACACGCAACACACACTAGAGGAGAGGAGGGTGGGGGCGACGTGCACCTCAGAGCGCGCCGCCCATCTCGATTCAGCAAGCTCTCTCTTGTTAGCAGCAGAGAGGGGGAAAAGGCGGGCGGGCAGACTGAGCAGTTCTCCCCGGAGGACATTTCGGTAAGGTCCTTGGTCAGTGCTCGGCCCTTGGCCAGGTTCGTTCGTTCTTGCTGCGTAGGTAGTGGGCCAAGTCAATGCCGGGTCTGGTGGGTCTGGACGCTGCTAGCAGCTGTAGCAGAGCTCGCTGCGGTACCATGTACGAGATGTATTGACGTGCTGAGGGCAGCCCACCAGGCCGAATGGAGATGGCTGCAGGGCGTTTTGCAGTGGGCCAGATGCCTGCGCAGCTCAAGAGACTTGAAGAACGAGCCAGAATCCAGAATGCACGCCTGAAAAAGGACA